TGTCCCTTCCGTTGTTGCTTGTTGTGTCCTTCCTATCACCACCCTTCCAGCTGTTGCCACTTGATCATAAATGTCATCATCCCAACAACCATATAGAGTGTAGAAGGCATGGCAGCTTCGTTGTGTTACAACCCTTGTCTCGAGTAATGACAGTAGTTATCTGCAACGTCTCTCGACCGTCTCTCGTAAGTATAGATGGGCAGCGTAACGTTTTTTTACGGTTTACGTTACGACGTGCGTAACGTAAGCAGTTTACGGTTACGGAAAGGCCTTACGACTTTACGGTTGGTGCTGAACTGCTTTTTCAGAATTGTGGCAAAGAGATTCACTGTAATGCACTCTACGATAGCTCAAATAGTTGTTAAACTCGTTCTTTGAGGCTCGGATCCAACCGAACCGATGAGAGAGTAGCATTTGGTTTCGCATTTACCACTCGTCTCCTTTGCAAATTCCGTCCGTCTTACTCCCAGGCTGGCCCGGAACTGCCAAGCCGGCCTCATCCATGGATTCGCATTCACATGAAGTAGATTTAGGCGACGTGAATGATCAATCCTCGTTTTGTCCTCTGTATCTCCGTAAGGCCCGTTACGGCGCCGTAATTTTACGGTACGGGGCTTGAAGCGTAACCGTAAAAGTAAACCGTAACGGCCCGTAACGTAATTCTGCCCATCTATACTCGTAAGAGGCCTCTGGTCGATGGTAAGAGTAGTAAGAGGTTAATGGTGATTGATACAATGATGTGCTTGATTGAGTGGTATGTAGTGATTCTACTAAGATACACCCCTCCACATATTCTTAGCATATCCGGTTTTTCGACTCGTGCACAGCCACCACAACGAGTATCATCTTGCGGCTCAGGGAGGTATGTACTTATGCTTTACCTGATATGACCTCCAAGTTTCAGGGCCTAACTCTTCGTAGTTAGTGAGAAGTCGAAGACCGGTAAAAAGTTTTCTCCACATATTATTAGCATACACGTGTTGAAATTGCGCCTCAAAATACCAACTTTTACTGGTGGGAGTATATTTCTAACTCCGCTCCTGATCTAATGCTATAAATCAACAGAAAGAGAATCGTTCATAATGGTATCCCTCCATGTTTCACTCTAGTACGAGTACGGAAACGGGGCCCATCGTATCATAGGAGTACGGGGTACTCTAGCAAAAGTCTGATGCGGAAAGGGTGAATCGCTGGGGTAAAGATCTGTCAGTTCGAATAATACTACGATTCGCAGTGCATTCGGAATCCCTGCATACTTCTGATCCAACAGGTCCGGCTATTCACAGCTCACATGATTCAGAGCAGTCTTTCAGATATCAAATATTCTCAAGGTCTTTCATAAAATAGTAAACAATCATATCGAGAGTAGCAACAATACCATAACTGGAAGTAAGTATTGCCATAAACACGAGCTTGGATCGAATATAATAAGATGGGATGAGTACGGGAAGATTCAGATCATATGGGTGAAAACCAGGCTCCTATGTACGGGGTTAGCAGCGAACATTATATAAAGGGAGTAACGAATTAGAAATGGCTCAATCAAAGGTGAACCCGATAGCTTCCCAACCAGTCGCCTTTCACTCTCTCCTCAACAGAGCTGACCGATGCTCACCCATAACCGAACTTTAACTACAGCCGTTTATGACCCCAACCCGATCATCTTACAACAAAACACATTTAACGCTGAACTAAAAATTTAGTTCTTCATTCACAAGCGGTTTAGGTGACCAGAATATCGGTTCGAACACAGTATCGTTGTTCAAAAAAGTTCTCGACTGGTACAGTATACACAAGCTATCGACACCCTAGTAAGCAGCAGATCAATCAATCATACGGAATGATAAAGCACCGAATATCAGCACTTTATCGAAATCTTAACGATATCATAAAGGAGCATAACCGAGTTAAGCTGTCCCCAGATTTCACTAGAGACTAGCTAACACACGGGCGACATAAAGAACCAACAAGTCATGCGAGTGGCATAATTTGTTAGTCGTATAGGAGATTAGGAAAAAAAGACATCTAGGTGTATAAGAAAAGAGAGCAGGCAACATGGTTCACGTTGTCGAACTTGAGTTCTCCAAGGACACTGTTGTTGTTATTGAGAACAAACGGCTCATCAAACAATACAGTGTAGCAGTACACCATACACTACAACAAGGCAGCATAACTACGAATAGTAGTGGAGGTTATAACAGCGACCATCTTGGAGCTCAATACTACAAGCGAATACTGCCGAAGATGTCGTTAGCAATGCAAGAACGTTAGCAACACTCTGATCCCGCAATACAGATTATAGGGAAGTGAAGAAGACAGAGTAAGAGGATGGCAATACACGAATCAGCGCGGGCCATCACCCTCAATAATGATGATGATGTAACTAGAGAAAGTTAACATATATATAACATTGCTACAGACCGTCTGACCAATCAGGTCAACAACGATCATTGACAGTAGGATAGCCTCATCAGCATAACTATGATGAAGGCATAGGCAACATATCAGTAACCCATATACCGAAGATACTTCCAATAAGGATACCATCGATAAGGCAGAAACTCATGGCATAACCAGCGATTTCTTGTTCATTTCGATCATCAGGAACCTTGGTAGGACCCATCATCATACCCAGAGTACTGGTAACACCATTGGTGAAGGCAAATATTGCCATCATGATATGTTTGAAGTAGTTATGTTGGAATGCCGCATTCCAAGGGAATAACTTGATGCATATGAATAGTGGGATAAAGATACCACGACTAAGAGCTAAGGCAACAAGCCACAACTGAGGAAGACGGATACCAACATTAGGCGCGAAACGCCCAACAGTATCGAATATCTGATACATATAGGTAATAAGAGGAATAAAGGATGCGTTATCAGCCGCACCCTTACCACTAGTAAACTGAGTAACTTGGGATGGGAAGACAACAAAGGTAATAGTAAGAGCACACCAAACCACGAAAGCAGGTACAGCGATATCCATAAGGATCCTGTAAACAGGTCTCCTGGTCTGTCGCTGCTTGAGTCCACCAGCCTTACGCTTAGCTTCCATCTCCATAACCTGTTTCATGTAGGGATGCTTCATCATACCATAATGGTACATAGGTAGACAGAGAATGGTTAAGACAGTGGTGACTAGGAAGAATATAAAGCATCTCCATTCAGCATAACGCTCAACTCCACATGATATAAGGATATAGTTGATCAAGATATTAATAGGCCATCCAATGAGACCAGCAACACCTTCACCAATCATACCCCAATTCATGCAAGCCTGAGAACCCAGAGCTGCCAAACCAAAGGCACACGATTCAATAAAAGAGTGACCAAAACCAAGCATAAAAGTGCAAACCAGACCGAGTCCAAAGCCGAGACCGGCGTTGTCGCAAGGATCATCATTACCAATAAACATGGCAACGAGAGCCAGGGCAATGTTGAATGATGCTAGAAGTACGCATCCAATATCCATACGGGGAGCAAAGGCAAACTTGTTACCAATGAAGATCAATAACAGCTCGGCCACATTGACAGACAGACCGTAGTAGATGGAGACGTTGGAACTGAACTGATGCTCGAACTTATCATTCAAGTAGACCAACTCAGTGAGGACGAAGTTCCATGGAGCCAAGGCGATGAATCCCAAAACCATAAACATGAAAAGCAGCTTCCAATCCTCCAAACTCTTCTCCTCTACCTTCTTCTCATCGGGCTTCAATTCCCTCATCTCATTATCAGATGAGCACGATGATGAAGAGGAACCAGGCTTGGTTACTGGTACACCATCTTCAATGTCATGATTGGTCTCCACAGAGAGACTCTCATTGCCCTTACGTACAGATAGTTCCACCTCAGTTGCTGATGTCGACATCTATGATGCCTTAGTAGTAGTATAATAAAAAAAGAGCGACGCTCTGAATAATTTGAGCAGGGGGAGTAGCTACAGCCCTGGCTTCGGGTTGTGTCGCGGCTGTCTCCTTTCACAAATAGTGTCCCTCTTGATGAGCATACCAGCCTGCACACTGTGTCTGGTGTCACTACTGCACGAGTTCATTTTATGATGAATCAATACCGGGCTGGCAATTACCTAAAGTCAACACAACCATTGTGTTCAGTAGACCGCAGTACCGCACGTGAAGTGAGACTTTCATAGAGGCTAAATGGGATGCGTTACCTCTATCAGATAGCCAATACTATGAGTATAGACCATATCGTAAGTATCTATACGACCGATGAGGCGTAGTACAATGCGCCAAGCTTATTGCAACTGTCAGTGATGATTGTCATCACTCTAATGGGAACACTCT